GAAGAGAACGTGAGATACAAACTATTACAATCGTCAATTTGATATGTAACTATATGGTTGAACATGTGCGTAGAAGGAGAGGCCATAAAATCGATCGTTTGCAACGCATCTCTATACGTTGCACGTGACTCAACGGCACTCTGCCATGGCGGACAAACGTTCTGGTTGCCGTTTCGATAAACTGTGCTCAAAATAGTTGGAAAATTTTCCGAAATTACACAAATAAAAAATGTTCTCTTATAATTCTCAAATAAATACAATTAAAGTTTAACAAAACAATTTGAAACGAATAAACATATAAAGAAAATATCAATAACCATGAAAATTTCAATAAATTAACTCAAACAAAACTGTCTATACAAAATTTTCATTATAATATAAAATAAATATTTTTCGTATTATATATTAATACTGAAACGAGACAATTGTTCAAGAAAATATAAATGCATACAAAAATAATTTATTTTATAGAAGAAAGCTATAACTATGTATTTTCCAGCGATTGTTATAACCGCAAGCAAAATCAGAAAATAAAAAATCAAAAAATATTATAAAATAAAAATATGCATAGAATCAAGAATTATATAATAAAATGATATATAGAGATATTATAAATATTATAGGAAGTGATACAACACGCAAACCACACATATGCAAAAGATTACGAACTGACGAGTCACGCATCATGTGAATCACTCTTGGGGAGATTCGGATCCATTCAATGCTAGAGGGTGAAAAGTTGGCGAAAAAAAGACTTGCCGATCGAACGAAGGGTTGCTGCAGTTTCTCTCCGCTATCCAAGGACAATCAAGTATTCTAGAGAAGTATATTATAAATTTATAATAACATATTCTGTTCGAATGTTAATTTCGTACACAATATATTCAATTAATTAAATAGAAGTTCAAATATTTTTGCATTTCAAAAAAATCTTCTCACGAAATTATAATATGTTAAAAATTTTTATAAAAATTATAATTATAATAATAACGATAAAAGAGATATCAAATTACCAATCATTACAATCATAATTTATAATATACAAATTCAATTAACCTAGAAATTAACTTCTTTATATATCACGATTCGCGAATTATATTTATAAAGTATCTATTATACTGATTCAAATGAACTTTTTCAAAGTATTAATCTGATCAAATTCAACTCAAATATGATTCAAACTCAATTTAATACAAATCTAATTTACATAAATACATAACTTGATATTCAAAAATGAATGTCAAGTGATCTATATTTTAAATATAAATCTAAATTTATAAAAATAATCTAAAATCTATATTTTAAATATAAAACAAAGAATAAGCATTGAAAACCTAATTTAATTCAAACTTAAATATATTCCATTGCTAATTATTGTAAATATTTAATTGTTGTTAAATTTGTCAAAAAATATTCATGAATATTATAATCATAAAATGGTAACATTTTTATCTAATAATTAATAACAATTTATTAAAAGATGATTTAGAACATAAGATCCTATGTTTTAATAAATTGATGAACTAAACAAAAATGCGATTATAGGATATCAGAACATGAAATACATATGAAATACATATGAAATACATATTATGAAAAATATTTTTGTATATAAATTAAAAACTAAAATCAATGATTATGCGTAATGAAAAGATATTCTTGATAAAATATAATCAAACTCATTAAAATCGATATATCGATAGATTGATTCTTTTTACTATTATTTTTCATCTTTTTTTTTGTCTTTAAAAAATTTTTAAATTAAAATGGAAAGTTACAATTTATTTTAGCACATCATAAACATATACAGTAAATATCCTGTTTTTGCAGTCACATGATGTGAAGTAACAAAGAAATAACTTCACGGTACAGAAACGATAATATTCATTTCACCGTCAATACTTTGGTTAGTAGCGTGCACCAAACCATTTTCTCTTTGTAGTTTTCTGTTATCGACAAACCATGGCTCTATTCTCTTAATTATCGCAATCGTAGCACGGTGCCATACGTTGCAACGAGTTAACCTATCACGCGAATGTAATTAATATATTTATTTTCTTTCAATATTTAATTACAAATACACGAAAAAATGAAAAAACTTGACTTGTAATAATTCATATTTTATTTATATAATCTTAATATCTTACTTTATTATTTGTATCATTTTCATAATAAAAAAAAATAATATATATTAATTACATATATGCAATAATAACTATATAATAATATAATTGAGATATATAATATAATATATTTTTATATTTAATATAATGTAATTTTTATCATTTCAAAGAAAAGATAAAATTGTCAACAATGCAACAATATGAAGTGACCTAGTTTAGTTTCTTTAATTACTGACTATTACTTTACAACTATTTATTATTGTATTTTTAATATAAATTTAATGAAATGACATACATAAAAAAGAAAAAAACTTTATAGAATTTAGAACAAAAAAGACAAAGATATGAAAAAAAATATAAAAAAATTATTGTAATACGAAATAGACGATAGAATTAATATTTTATCAATAATATAGTAATTTTTTGAAACATTTTTAATAACATCTTAAATAACGTTCAAAGATATTTCTAAAAATGTTTCTAAAAATTTTATATTTGATAGATTTTATTATAAATTTTTTTATGAATATTATAGATTGTTTTAAATTAATTTTATAAATATATTAAATTAGTAATTATATAAATATAGTAGTTAATTTAAATATAATAAAGTATAATTTTTATGAATAATAAAACAATGAATCTAAAAAAAAAAAGCTCGTACAAGTTTCATTTTTATGAATACGATAATTCTACGAATATTATATCAAACTATGTGCATATAATTTAATTATTTTATTCTTATATCCTACAAATAATTGTACTTTCTATTTTATATGCCTAAATGATGCTTGAAACCTAATATATCTAAGAAAATTGCTTTTTGCATCTGCAAAGAGAGAATTTTCCATTCAATTTCATCCGCTGAATAAGAATTTCAAATTTTCAAATAAAATAAAGACAAAAAATATTATATTTTTAAATTATTGTAATCAGTAGATTAATATAAAATTCAATTTTTGATTAGAAATACAATTAATAATGAAATTATTCGATTTAAATATCATTATTATTTTATTATTTATGAAAAAAAATATATATAATTTACAAATTTATTTAAATTTAAATATACAAACAATATGAATTTGACCAATTTAAATTTTTTTTTTTAATTAAAATTTGTATATTATTTGTATATTCAAATGAATGAATGAAAAAATTCGAGAAAAATAGTGAAATAATGTCAATCAGAATCATTGATAATTATTATATGATCATCATGATCAAATGGAATGCTGAAAAGTCGAAGGAAGTCTACTATGAGTTTCATTTCATGAGAATCTTGCACCATCTAAGTTAAGGAGGGTTGAACAGGAAATCGATATTCCCACTCTTAACCGTCTACAAAACTGATTGTCTGACAGGAAATGTCAAGTTAACACTAATAATATCTTATATATTATTTATATCAGATTTTGATATAGTGTAACAGTATGAAAATATTATATTTCATACTGTTATAAAGAAAAAATATATTAAAATAATAATAATAATAAAATATATTTTTAATTTTATTATTTGATTGATTTTAATCTATTTCACGAATTATACATTATATATATTTTATAAAACAATATGTTATATTTTTATATTTCCAATTCTTATAATGAAAAATCTTATTAATATGACAATTCAATATTTAATGATCTTTAACACCAATGCTAATTAAAAATAACAAACGATATTAAATGATATTTAATAAGAGATTATTTATAAAACAAACTGACAAAGAATTGAAAATGTTCAATTTCTGTAATTGTCAACTGTCAATTTATAATGAAATTCAAATATGTCAATATCCGAAATAACTGTTGTCAATTATATTTTCTGAATAAATAATTTAAAACATAAAAGTAATTTTATTATAGTTGATAGTTTACGAAATAAATTTGAACATAAATATTTATAAAAGTATTTTCAAATTAATTTTTTCATAATAATTTTGATACAATTGTCTTAAAAATTAGATAGAATATACAAAAAAAAAAAATTCATAATACACAACAAAGAAATTTTTAGAAAGAAAAGCAATAATTTGATAATAATTATATATACAATACACTAATAGCCATATTTATTATTATTTTGGCCATTGAAACAGAACATTCTAAATACTTAATATATAAATACTTATGTAGTAAGTTACTTGGCCTTTTATTTCCCCCACGCATTTTCTTAGTCGCCATATTCATGAAACAACTCGGCACGTAGGCACATTCAGTTTCTTATAGTAAAATCATCGACATCTATTGTTCAATTTGTGTATTAATAACTCATTCGGTAACTTCTACAAGCAATCTACTTTACCGAACCTTAATATTCTATCTTATCGACATCAAAAAATAAAATTACATTACCAACAGGATTTTGCGCGAAATTAAAAAAATAGAGAATGCACGATGGGAACGATGAACTCTATGTGTACATCGTCTAAGGGGTCAACGTACCCTTTTCAAGGTGAACAAGTTTCATACGAGATAACATTTTTCTGTAGAGTTTTTTTATCCATATTTTATTTTCCTTTTTCAAAATGTAAATTAAATAAATATTTTAAATTCTTTTATTTTAAATTCAAAATGTAAATTAAATAAATATTTTAAATTCTTTACTATTTTTTTATAATAATAAATTATTAAAACTGATTTTTTTAATCATCATAAAAATAATAATATAAATAAATAAATTATATTTTTAAAATATTTTTATATTTGAAAGAGAATTTAAAATATTTATTTTATAATTGTATTTTTATTATGTTCAAATTATAATAATAATATAAAAGCAAAATGAGTTATACATAATAAAATATATATACACATGCACATAATAGAAAATAAATATGAAATAATATACTACTGAATGCAAGAGATCACTTACCATTGAAAAGCATTGAAGTGATAATAAACAAGTCCTTGACCATATAAAAATGAAGCATCCTTCCAATAATCTCCTTTTAAAGAATAAAATTTTTGATATGCTGACATGGCTGTTGAAATTTTTAAAAGATATAAGTATATTAAAAATGAAATTAATGAAAATTTATCACAAATAATTATTAGTTATTTACCTTTGCTATAATCTTCTAAAAGTAAATGAAAATGTCCTAATTTACAGTATGTTTTAGGATCAATACTAATTCCTTTATCTTCATCATCATCCTTTAATTCATCGGGATTCATTTTTGTACTATCTGCTTTTCTACGTTGATTTTCAGCTTGTGCTTGAACTAACATTCTTTCTAAATACTTAATTGCACGAACAACTAAAGCTTTTTTCTTTGTTTGCTCTGGTGAATTTAATTTTAAAAATCCAAACTGCCGACTGCACATATTGAAAAAGTATATTTATTAATTAAAAAATTATAATTACAATAAATATAAATATAAAAGACATCACATATTAAAAATATCGTTATGTTAGTAAATTTTAGCAAAATATACATAAATGTTTCATAGATAAATATTTTTAAAATATTTAAAATATAATTTAAAATAGACATATTTTAAATATTTAATATATTTTATGTTTTAATTTCTATGATAATATTTTAAATGTTATAATTACAATTATTATATAAATCATAAAAATATATTAATATTATAATTGAATTCTATATATATTTTGATAAAAAAAAGATGTCAGTTCCAAATAATTTCGAATAAATTGATCGAATTACGCGCCTATTCTGTCAAACAAACTTTTAGGTTATATATTGAAAAATAGCAAAAAAAACTATAATTAATATAAGAAAAATTGAGAAATCAAAACAAAACTAGATGTAGTAGATTTTGTTTATTTTAAAATCACCTGTCTAACTCAGATAGTATTTGTAATTCTTGAGGAGTCAAATTGATATCGTCAGTATCTTGAGCCATTTTCGTACTTGGTAAATATACTCATTAAAAACAGAAAGAACACATGTTTACACTTAGAACCGGTTGCTTTGTACGAAAATCCGAGAGTTTTCACAATTTACTCTCTCGACACTTTGTCACCTCATCAGGACGATAAGTTTTTAAAAGCGGCAACCAGGTTAAATCAGGATGGCGAATCACGCGACGGAAGACCATTATCATGGCTCATGTCGATTTATAATTCCGGTACCAGAGAATATTATTTTTCAAAACGTCCTAGAATAGCGCGAAAAATTGAATAATTTATTCTATATATCTTGTAGAATATATATTATATGTAAAATATAATTTAAACTTAATAAATCATGAAATCAATAAAAATTACCTACAATGTAAGAAGACTTATTTATTATAATAAATATATAAAGTTATAATCAAAATAAGATAAATAGTTAATAGTATATTATATAATATATACTCATATAAATGAGTATAAAATTTTTTAAAATTATTTAGATTTTATAAAATTTATTATTTAAAGTTTTTAATTCTTCAAGAATATTATATCACAATATGTTAAAATGTTTTTAAAAATTTATATAATTTATTAGCAAAAATCTTATGTTAATAAATTAAAATATTTATTTAGTTTTCTTATAATTTAATATTATCATATAAAATAATATGTTCATTCTAAAATTCTTATATTATTATTGAAATACACACGGCTCTTCAGTGATTTCACTATTTTACCGTCTTTACTGTTTTTCAAACCGAACAATCATTTTAGAAAACCGGAGATTTTGATCTTTCGCGTTTATACATAAAGATATTTTAATTTTATCGAATAATATTTCGGTAATTGAAGAATTTAGGTGAGCCTTATACATATATATAAATATTAACCATTATGAAATATTATATAATTTAAGAATATATCTGAATGATATCATGCCTAAAATATACAAGAATACCATCAAGTCAGGAGCAACAAAATTATTTAAACGGTAGACAATTTTTTTTTCATATTATTTTGAAATTCTTGTTTATATTTTTAATACTTTCTATGCTTTTATGATTAATGAAATGATTTAAAATAATTTATGAAGTAATACTTAACAAAATATTCGTTATTGCAATTTTTTAACAATACAGTCATCGATATATTTTTGTTCTGACATATAACTGAAGAATTTGTTAACATTATTATTTCAAGACGTGAAAATAGCATTCATTCTTTAGCTTTTACGTTGTTAATTTGCAAACGAAAATTGTATCAAGAAAAAATATAATGCAAAAAATATGTATTTAAAAACGTATATTAATATTGTTTAACTCGTTTTTAAAATTCTTATTTTATAACGAAATATTAATGATAATAAATAATTTTCAGTGTTAAAATGAGTCTTCCAGTAACAAAGAAAAACAAAGATAATGCAAACAAAGAAGAATTGAACATTTCAAAACATGCAGAAAGTATGATAGACAAGATTTTAGGAGATGTGAACAAAAAGTCTACTACTAAACAAATTATTATTGGTACAACATCAGGATGGTAAATATTATACATATATACATACACATATTAAAATTATATAAAAAACTTTTAATTTTATATAATGTGATTAATGTACAACTAAAAAAAGATAATTAAGTTAATTATTAATTATTAATTAATAGATATTTTAACTACTTCAAAAAAAAAAATTTCTACTTATGTATAATTATTCATTATTAATAAAAAAATATAATTATCCATATTTAATAAAAACTTTAATCTTGCCAAAAAATAAATATCTAATTTAATTTAAATATTTTATATAGGTTGACTGGTTTTATAACAATAAAAATTGGAAAAATTACTGCATTTGCAGTTGGTGGTGGAATTATAATGCTCCAAATTGCAGCACATCAAGGTTACATTAAAATTAATTGGGATAAAATTCAAAAAAAAGCTGAGAAAATAACAGATAAAGTAGAAGAAACAGTAACAGGTGAAGGACCAAAATTCTTGGATAAGGTAAAATTTTAATAATTTTGATATCTAAATTTACAAGAAAAATTTCATAGATTTATAATACTTATTAATATATAAATATAATATTAATATTATTTATAGGTAGGAACATGGTGTCGAAACAATTCACTTGTGGCAACAAGTTTCATTGGTGGTTTTATTATTGGTTTAGCATCCTGAATGAAAAACTATTAGTTTTTTTTATAAAAACATGAGTGAACATTATATATTTGTTACTTTTAGCATATTAACATTATATGTTAGGTATTATTTTCATCATTTTCATAAAAACTTAAGAATCAAATATTTTTTTATTATTTAAATTATTTATTACTTATATGCTTAAGAATTTTATTTTTAATATATAAGTATAAATTTACTGTTAATTTTTGTAGCTCTGTATCTCATATATGTATATTTAATTAAATTCTAACACTTCTAAAAATATGCACATGCATTAAGAAGTTTTTATCTTGTAACCATTATTTTTAATATGTATACAAATTTATACATTAATATATATACAATTTTATAAAAAATATAGTTATAATATACTTATAAAATAACATAATAAGCAAAAACTTAGATATTTGTAAAAAATTATATATAACAATAATACAATTTTATTATTATTCATGAAATTTTTTTACTTTCTTTTCGTATATTACGAGAATTTTTATTTTGAAAATCAAAAATATCAACATTTTGTATAAATTTGTATAAAACATGTTTTATATTTTTGTTGAAATATTTGTTATTTTATTTTGATGAATTGAATGAAATTTTACTGTTTCAGGTTGAGAGATATGTTGATAAAAAGTTAGATAAAGCTGAACAATTATTAAAAAATGGCGAATCTCGTACACGTCGTTGGTATCATTCTATAACTGGCGATACTTCATTTAAACCTACAGAATTTCACTTTTTCCTTTCTTATTTTGTAGGTGGTTTTGCACTTGGTATTGTAAGTGGTAAATTGATTTAAATGCATTGTACTCTGAATGCATATAAAAAATCAGGTGCTTATGTCTTAAGAACAAAAATAAAACTGAATGTCAAAATATTAATTTATGTTTTTAAAATACCAATAATGAAATATATTAAAGTTATGTATATGTTATATATAAAGTAAATGAAATTTAATTTTTTTATATTTGTGATTTTGATATTATTTTTTGTATATGTATATTCCATAAATACCTGATTTTATAAAAAGAAAAAAATAATTTAACTTTTGCATGTATTATATTAGAAATGAAATACATTTTATGATTTAACATTAATAATATATAAATAATATATAAATGTTATTATTATAATATATATAAATATATAATTTGTTATCCATATTTAATTATTTTTGAGTAAATTGTTTTGCATTCAGAATACAATAAAAATAATGCAGTCATCTTAGATATTATATTTATATAATATAATATAGCAATTAATATAATCTTCATTATATTAACTTATGAAAATTGCTAGAAATATTAATAAATAAATAAATTAAAATTAAAATAAAGATAATGTTAATCTATTGAATATTGTAAACAAATTTTCTATAAGTTTTATATATAATTAATTATATATAATTAAATAATTAATAAAAAATTAATAATTATATATAATTAATTATATATTTTTTGATTAAAATAGATATAGTTTTATACTATTTCTGTTTTGTAAGATTCTTTATTTAAATATTTTATAGCATAAATATAAAACTAATCATATAATATTACTATATTCAAAATAATTAATATATAAATTGATGTGTGTATATATATATATATATATATATATATATATATATATATATATATATATAAGATGTAATTACTTTATTACAAAATGTTATAATTTAAAATTTTTATTTGTGAAAAATAGAAGAATCTTACTGCCATAAATTTTTTTCTTGATAAAAATGATAAGATTATAATGTATTAAGTTTTATATCCTATATACATATATATAATTTTATATGTATATATATATATATGTATATAGAAAACATATTGACAAATATGTTATTTATGATTGATTAAAAATACTTATTCTTTTGTATGCTACAAAACAAAAAAAATTAATTACAAATATACAATTATAATTATAAAAATAAAATTATATAAAATAATTATAATATAATATTATTTATTTTTTAAAATTTTTTAAAATCTTTTAAGACACTGCATAATAATAGTTCTTAGTCGTCTTCTAATTTTTTGATCACCATTACAAAAAATATGTGTTGAATTATCTCCAATTTGAATCAAAGTATCTTCATCTTGCTATAAATATAAGTAATAAAAAATGAATTTTATATTTAAACAAAAAATTATTTTTTATGATGCATAAGTATCTTACTAAGTGAATACTGGTAGCAGTTGGACTATGTTGTAATTTGGCTCCTTGAATTCCTTCTTGATTAAGCTTCTGTAATAGTTCTTGTGGATCCAGATTACCATATTCATGTTTTCTTTCTTTAAGAACTTCTTCTTTGATTGGTGCAGGTGAACCAGAAGATGCTTTACGTTTCCCACTAGGTCTATCTTCAATACTCTAAAAATATAATTCTTAATTAATAAAATATATTTTTAAAAATATATATTTATTAAGTTCTACTTTAAAAATACATACTTTTATTGTGTATACATTATCTTTAACTTCCAATTCACCAGTAACAGAAGCAAGACTTAAACCAGGTCGAATTTCATTAGGAATTATATTTCCCGCTAGTTCTGGTTCAATAAATACTCGTCCCTTTTTTCTTTTTAAAGGCAATTTTATAACTTCACCTCGTTTAAAAGTAATTAAAGGTTTTTCCTTAAATATAAAATAAATAAATATGTTAAAAATTAATCGAAATAATCTCTAATTTAACATTATATATACTTACTCCTACAGGTTCTATGACAAGATCTGTTCTATGTGGTGCAGTTATTGGTGGTTGTGTATAACATTCAGGTATAACTAAATGTTCTGGCTTTAAATCTCTAATTAATTTATTAGCTTGAGTAAAATTAAGAGATGTATCAATTGGACAATGCACTGCTTTCATAGCTAATGGTTGAAATGGTGCTAAAGCATCTAAATATGGAAAATCTGGTTCTGAAAGAATTATTATTTATATTATTATATTATATTAATATAAAATTTATAAATTACGTGATTTATAAATTTATATATTACTTTGTAATGCATTATCAAAGTAATATAATATATAAAAATTACCTGTAAAAATTATAGTATGTTGTGGATTATTACCCCATAATTGAACAAAATGAACTGCATCTCCAAATCTAAGACTGGGATGTCCACAAAAAACAACACAAGGTTGTCTATAATCAGAACTAAAACCTTCAGCATATGTAGATGTAAAATGTTTTAATCTGGCATTTTTAACAAGAAAAGCATGTGGAAATGGTTCTTCAGGAAGATAAACTTTATTTTGTTTATTTGTTGATAACCTGTAATAAATACAAAATGTGAATAATCTATAAATAATCTATAAATAGTTTTGCCATACTCATTTAATATAAACTATACCATTCAGCTAAAATATTTGAATATGCTAAAGAAGTTTCAGCTACTGGTGATATAAAAAATAATGGAACTTGTGCAAAACCAGATTTATCCAAATGAGTACTGAGGCATTCAAATAAATCATATACAACTCCAGATGGATAACATGGTATTAGAACACATCCTCCAGTTCTAAGTGTCATTGCTATAAAATTTTAATATAAACATTAAATTATTTATATTAAATTTAACTGATTATTAATATTATTAAAATAATTTTATTCTACCAACAGTCATGCAGAGTTCTCCAAGCATAGTATCTGGATTAGCAGTAGGTGTTTGAGTTAAACCTGTTAATATTAACATATTAGCATGTTTTAAAGTAGCTTGTTCCATAGGACGTGGATGTGTTGTCAATGTTGAAGATCCACTTACAAATGCAACCTTTTCATGATCACATGAAATTAACCAATTACTGCTACCCAAACAATATCCAGAACTTATAGGAGTAACTGTTAATGCACCATATATATCCTATGAGAAACAAAAAAAAATTTAAAATAATAAAAAAATAATAAAATAAAATAAAAAATAATAAAATAATAAAAAAATTTAAAATAATATTATGCTAATTTACCAATTTTTGATCATATCCAACTGTTTGAATGTAAGATAAAGCAGTATTAACTGCTGACATTGAATATATATGTTTCCAAGATTTTGGTTTAAGAGCATCAGCTAATGGAGAAGGTAATACATGTAGCATTTCCTTCCAATGTTTAGCTAATGTAGCTTTAGGAGTTTGTTCAATAAATTCTACTAGTTCTTCCATAAAAAATCGTCCAATTTGTAATGTTGGTTCTGTAGCATAAATAATACCTTTGAAGCCAGTATCTTCTGTTATAAATGGTAGAGCCAACATACAAGTATAATTTGATATTAAAATGGCATCAATTTCTGAAAAATCTACTATTTTTTCTAAAGGTGGAGAAAACTCAGGTGTTGAATCTACAAATACTCTACCACAGCATTCTTTTAATTCCTAGAAGTTTGAATGCTGATATAAATACAAATTTATGTGTGAAATATAATAAAAGAAATATATTATGCAAACCCCTTCTATTTGCCAATCTTGATGATTATCACGTGGAAGCCACAAAGGCAAAGAATTAAATTTAGTACTGGGAACCATAGGCATTGGCATAAAATGTAATATAGACTGCATATTTAAACCACAATCTAACATTAATGTAATTCCTTTGAAACTTAATACCAAACATGGCTTTGTTGGTTCACTTGATAAGCAATACTATAATATAAACATTTAAAATATAATTTTTACGAATAATGTTAAAAACTAAGATTATTTTAATGATTTTATTAATTAAAAATTATTTATATTAATTATATTAAAATATTATAATAATTACAATTACCAATTTCATTTTAAATTTTGTCTTTTCATTAATTTTTTATTTAATACAAATGTGATCACGAATATTTTAATTCGGTATACATAACCTCTAATGTTACTAATGCTAATTTAAATATACTATATAATGCAGTGTATTGTGCAATATTTCTCAAATTTATCGCATTTCTGTCATAATAAATGAAATAAATTTATTCACATAAGGCACATAATATATATTATTATAATATATAATTCTAAAAAAAATAAGTTTTTTAATTTTAATTTTAATTTCAAAAATGTGCAAAGTAATTGTTTTATTTAATGGTTATTCTATAAAACTTGACGATGGAACAATGAAAGCAAATTGTACTTGTACATTAATAAAAGCATCCAAGAATATTATTGTTGATACTATGACAGCTTGGGATCGAGAAAAAATAATACAAGGTATTATTATTTATTTGATATTTGCAATTTAATGTTAAAATACTTAAATAAAAAATTTATTTCAGCACTTAATAAACATAACGTTACACCTGATAAAATTGATTATGTTGTTTGTACTCATAGTCATGCTGATCATATAGGAAACAATAATCTTTTTATAAATGCAGAACATATAATAGGAACTTGTGTACATCGCGGAGAATTATTTTTCGATAAAGATTTAAAAAATGGTAAAATTTTTGTAATATATTAATAAAATTATATAAGTGCGTAAAATTAAATATATAAAAATTATAATTATTGAAAATATATATATGTATATATATATATATATATAGGATATCAAATTTGCCCAGAAGTTAAAATTATAGCAACTCCTGGTCATACAATGGATGATGTTACAGTTTTAGTTGAAACTACAATTTCTGAAAAACCTACATGTTTTGCTATTACAGGTTTATTTTTTAAAAATAATATAATATGATAACATTATAAATAGTTTATATATATATTTCCATATTCTTATCAATTTTATAGGTGATTTATTCGAAAAAGAAGAAGATATACTAAATCCATTCATTTGGAAAGAATTAGGAACTAAAGAATTACAAAAAATTCAATCACATATGCGATCTTATATAATTGATTTGGCAAATTTTATAATACCTGGTCATGGACCAATGTTTGTTGTTACTAATGACATGAAAAGAAT